TTCGGCCGCCGCCCGGGCAAAATTCCAAAGTTCCTACCAAATGAAAATATTAGGTGTGTCCCGCGCGCTCATATGACCGTAAAACACTTTACAAAAACAGACAAACAAAAACTCCTCCTATAGGTAGGGCAATGCCCACTTTAGGTGTGTGTCAAGATTTCTAGAAACCCCCGAAATCTGGGTTAGCCCGGTTGTCCTTAAAAGCGACCATTTGTGCCCATGGTTGAGTGTTCAGTGAGCTCAGGCTCACAATAATGCTAGACATCTGTTCTGTCGTTGACACAGCATTTAGCCGAGTGGTCACTGGGGAGTGTCCTTGAGCAAGACACGATAATCCTCCTTCAAAAACAGGGCGCTGCACAGTAGCGACCAGAAATAACGTGTTACTGTTAGTGTAAAATGTGAGGCAGCGAGAAGAAATCAGGCGCTCGTTAAAATAATGAAATCGAAGAAACCGGCATTTTCCCGCCGGTTTGGGAATTTTAAAAAAATCGAATGTTTGTTTTTTGGCTCAACACCCTTTATCATTTCAGAGCACATCTCCGTGTGCACTTAGCTGAAAAACGTTGGATAAAGGCACACAATATGTAAATTTTCATTTTCCACCGACTCTCAAGCTATGGAAATTACCAAAGTTTGGCGGCCATATTCTCTCTAATTTTACCGCTGAAACCAGGCTTCCCCACCTCCTTCAATCGAGGATATCTCAACCAGTATTCTAGTTCATTTTTTTCATCAAAAGCAAGACAAATTTTAAAGAACACGCTTTAAGACGATACCAATAGCTCCATATACCACAAAAATGACGAACGCCTGATTCCACCCCATCGAGACACATATTTATACTGTTGCATAATATCTGTCTGTAAATCTATGTGAATTATTATTTGAATGCTTTTGTACACTTAATCTCCCCACGGGAATCAATAACGACAGTGAAACTGACTTATTTGCATCTATTGTGTATAAAGTAACTTTGTTGTATTATTGTTTATAATGGTCTTTCCATACGTATGTTTGTCCACTTTGTTAAAACAAATCTCCTAACGAAGATCAAACCGGCGTCTATGGTGCAGCGGTCAGGCGCTTGACCGATGCATGCAAGAGAACCGAGTTCAATTCTCGCATGGGGGGTGGG